AAGACGAAAGGAAATCACCATATTGATACATGTTTAAATCTGATCTAAGCTTTCGGCTTACATAACCCATTATCAAAGATGACAATTACTTTTCAATATATCAACCAATACACGGACGAAACAATAATGATAGTCTGTTTTTGTTGCATGAAAAATTTCAAAGCAACGACAAACTCGTGTATATACGAGAGCGGAAGCGAAAATCGCACCGCAGCTCGTGACGTCACACATGACCACGCGAGAGTGAAAACGAGAAGTATTAAGTATGGGAAGCCATTGGTATAAACCAATGGCTTCTGTTATCAATTATAGGCATTTAAGAATATTTGTGGAGATTTCGTAGTTTATTTTGTTCAGGTTAGGTTTCAACTTTTTTTATGTATATAGCTTCAAGAATTTTTAGTTTTTCTTTATTGTTTTCTTGTTTAAGTATAGTTGTGTTTTCAACAAGGATTTTCCGGAATTGTGTATGCGGCCAGGCATGTTGTTTTAAATGCCTAAAAATGTTAGAGTTATCATTCAAATATAGAGTCAAGCGTCGGGAAAGCGAGTTTGTGGTGTGACCAACATAAATATTATTTAATCCATTATATATACAAGCTTAATGAAAGGGATGCATTTTTTATTTATTAATCCGACAGATTTTATTATTTAAACTTTATTTTTTAATGGATATTCGTATTTGAGTAGACGTTCTGTTTATTTATTAAACGGTATATATATATATATATATATATATATATATATATATATATATATATTCGTCTTTCCGCCTAAATATTCTTCTGTCTAGTTAATTGTTGTTCTTTTATTGTTTATCTCTCCTTAATAGTAATGTATATATATTCTCTAAGACTCAGTAAACCCTTGCATCTTAAAATATCAAAGAAAATTACCTTGCTTTTGATGAAATGATTATATATACGATTCCGTTTAAAAATCAACCTAGATAAATTTTGTCTGGCTCACTAGGTACGTATCTATATATATATATATATATATATATATATATATATATATATATATATATATAAATGAGAATAAAAAAAATGATGTGCAAATCCTTAGATGAAATTTTCACTGTATAATGTTTGATCAGTTATGGAAGTCAGTGAATTACTAAACATGGAGTTTATTTCTTTTGAACTTTTGAAGTATTTGCTTCTTATTGTGTGTTTCATTAGTAGCGTTTCGAGGTCTTGATCCGGGTGGTTGGGTGTTCAAGAGCTTATCCCGGTGCTCTCTGCCACGACCAGTTGCCCACAAGATACGAAAACAAATACTACTGAAACAAATACAAATGCTTTTTCACACAAATACAGTTTTAGATCCGTCCGCACTGCGCATGATCGAACTACTGAACGCCGTCGACAAAATAATTCATGACGCGCCGTTAATGAAATAAATATTTTTGCCGGCAGTCACAAAATTTATATCATATCACTAATTAACCGCCATGCGTGACAAACGTTTTTATTTTCAAAATATAAACCCCGATATTTTATGACTATACGAGGCTGATTTTTTTCCCGCAGAGGTTGCCAACTTTTCTTTTTTTTCTGGATCAGAATACATATCAAAATGTTTAAAACACAGTCTGTCCTGCTATTTATATGGGGTTGGGAAATTTAGAAGAATAATATTCATACCTTTGATAAAGTAAAAAAAAGTAATGTATTCGACTGAATTGAATTTGACTCATTTCGCCGACTTTCCATCAATCCCAGCCGCTATCCATTACTCCACCCTAATAAAAAAAATCACAAAAAATTTAAATTAAATCTCCCGATTTTTTTTGCTGTTATGAATAACCTAATTTGATTTAATGTTTCACCACATCTAAATAAATTTGGTTAGACTGGGTCTAATTAGTTAGGGGAGATTTTTACATATGTTTCTTTCTTTTTTTTTTTTTAAATATTGGAAATTTGAGCAATTCATTGGCAATTCACTCCCAGTCTCGGCAATAAACTTGCCAATCCCCGAGCGATTTTTGAAATTTTTCCTGGTTATACCTCAGGGAATAACCATATTTTTATTCTGCCATTGTGTGTCGTCTCCATTCAGAACGTCCTGAATAATGGCTCTCCACAATTTCCCGTCCTTTGTAACTCTTAATAAATTTTGGTTTTTTGTAATCCCTCCTAAACCCTGTTCTATCATCCATTTACAAAGGCTCACTAGGTGGGGTATGCGTTGTCTTTGTCTGTCTCTCTTGCCTTCAATCTGTCCTGTGAGTATCATGGCTCTCCACTATTTCCCGTCCTTTGTAACTCTAAATAAATTTGTATATTTTGTATTGGATTTTTAAACCTTGTTCTGTCATCCATTTACACAAACTCGCCAGGTAGGTTATGCATTGTTTTTCTCTATTCATCTCGTCTTCAATTTGTCCTGTGAGTATTAGATTTTCCCAGCCTTCTTTCCTCATGATATTCTATAGATTAGGATAAATATATTTTTATATAAATATTTTTTTTTTTTTTTTTTTTTTTTTTTTCTATAAAACCAAAAATTGATGTGTTATCATTTGGATTGAAATATGGCATTATCATTCTTCTTATAGAACCGGTAGTATTCATCTTGCAAATCTCTTCTCGATCTGTGATGAGATCGTCCACCTTTCACTACATAGAAAACCTATAGGAAAAATATGATATTTTTTCAGTACATTTTTTTTTGTTTAAAATTTTTTTTTTTTTTCTTAATACTTTTAAATTTTTTTTTGAAGGCATCTTTGGCTATCCGAATACGCTTTCAGATTTCAGTCTCACACTTTCCGTCTTCTGTTTAAAAAAAGTTTTGATTTATCTAAATTTAGAACTTTTTATAGTCTATACTAAATTACGTTTTCTGTCTATTTTAAATACAGCTGTACTTTTTGACTACAGTAAATGGATATATAATTTGGTCAACGGCGTAGCAGTACATACGCTAATATATAGCGTATATATATATAGTATATCTCTTTGTATGATGCAACAATAAAATTTCTATAAATCAGCCAGTCTTTAAATCAGTCGCATGTTACGCGAGTCTATACGTTGATTTGCATGTCGGGCTGTTTCTTTTGCTGACAATAATGGATTCTGTCTACTTGCAATAAACTTGCTTATATGCAGATAAGCCCCGCAAAAAGAAAAAAAAGGACACGTTTATAAGCATAAAGTGTTGCCATTACTACTGAACTTTAAATATTAGGCTTAATGTTGGTACCTTTGACCTTATTAAAGTTCAATGAGAGAGGGCAAAAAAGGTAAAAAATAAAACGTAACATACAGTTCAGGAAAAGATTGTTATTAAAATATATTTTAGAGTCACTATTTTTTTTGTGATGTAGGTCGAATGATAATCGAGTCATGTTTCTGTATTGATAAAAACAAACTGTACTCCATGGATATCACAGATTTTATAAATCAATGGAAGTATTGCCTACAGGGATGGTTAACTGTGTTGCTGTAATTTTACCGATGGAGTATGATGGGGACATGCGAGCCTTAAGAGAGCATTGGGACATTGATCTCTGCTGACAGAAGTAAAGTAGCTAAAGGCCATCTTATGCGTGAAGAGGAGCAACAGGTATTTCAGATTTTAAAAGCATATAGAGGTACTGACTACTAGTTGTCGATCGATTGTGCAGTTAGAGAGACAGATATTCATGATCGAACAATGGAGACAAAAGGAAACACACACACACACATCTCTGAATTACTCATTCATAATGAAATGTTAGACTGATTTATGAATGGGCTGAGATCGATAAATCCTGATATGTAGAGACTCGGAAATAAATAAGAAACGAATGAGAACAAAGTCTTTTCATCCTAATTATCTATTAATATATGAATTTTGATTTTTAAGGGACCTCCGGTAGATAAGGTGACAAAAATATAAACACTAAAACTACACTTAAAATGGGTAGAGAGACAGACAAACAGATAGATAGATAGATAGATAGATAGATAGATAGATAGATAGAGAGATAGATATAAAGATAAAAATTTTAGAAATTAATATGAGGAAGTTACATTAGCTAGCTACCTAGCTAGATGTGAAATGATAGACAAATAGATAACAACACCTCTAGATAGATAGATACAGTTTGAGATAGATATGAGTAGGCGGAAAAAAAGTTAGATAGTTACATAGATAGGAACAGGATAGATATATAGATAGAAACAGTTTTAGATAGATAGATAGATAGATAGATAGATAGATATAAAAAGAAATGAGGAAGATAGATAATAGGAAAAACTGATTTTTGTAAGATAGATAATAGGAAAAGAAAAGATAGATAGGAAAAGACTGATATAGATATATAGATAGATATAAAAGACTGATATAGATAGATAGATATATAGATAGATAGATAGATAGGAAAAGATGAAAGAATAGATAAAAATAGATATTTTAGGATAATAGATATATAGATAGATAGATAGATAGGAAAAGATGAGATAGATATATAGATAGATAGGATAAGACTGATATAGATAGATAGATAGATAGATAGGAAAAGACTGAGATAGATATAGATAGATAGGAAAAGACTGAGATAGATAGATAGATAGATAGATAGATAGATAGATAGATAGATAGATAAGACTGTGATAGATAGAGATAGATAGATAGATAAGACTGAGATAGATAGATATAGATAGAAAGATAGGAAAAGACTGCTATGATAGATAGATAGATAGATAGATAGATAGATAGATAGATAGATAGATAGATAGGAAAAGACTGAGAAAGATAGAGAGATAGACAGACAAATAGGCAGAAACAGGCTGAGGATGTTACATTAGCTAGCTATCTAGCTAATGTAACTCAACTAGCTCGCTAGAAAGAAAGTAACAGTTTGAGATAGATATGAGTAGGCGGAAAAAGATAGTTACATAGATACGAACAGGATAGATACATAGATAGAAACAGTTTGAGATAGATAGATATGAAAAGACTCAGATTACATGGATTTTGATGTTCTCATTTTGAATTATTCTAAAATAACCATGTCTCAAAAAATATTCCATTAATAATTTCAACTAATGTCAAGCTAAAAATACTGGCCTCAGGAAAATAAAAGTAAATCATGGTAATGTGTCTGTAGATGTCCCTTGAGATCTGTTTGTATAGATGAAGAGAGATGAAATCATATAGATCTGTAATAACTTGGAATAAATAAATATTTATCATATTCGCAGTAAATTATATGTTTATATACATATACATGTATATAAGCAGGAACATGTGAAGGAATATGATATTAATTTTCGAGTTCAAAAATATATCACAAGACATTTTAATGTACAACAAAATTACAGTGAATTTTAAAAGAATATATTATACAAAGTAATCTTTCAGGTCAAAATTGGATATAAAATATATGACAGACAATATATGCTTAGATAGGTAGATAGACTTAGATAAATGATAATGAAAATATTAACTGTTTCCCTATAAGGAAACATTTTATAGATAGATAGATAGATAGATAGATAGAAAATATTAACTGTTTCCCTCTAGGGAAATATTTGATAGATGATAATGAAAATATTAACTGTTTCCCTATAAGGAAACATTTCATAGATAGATAAATAGATAGATACAAAAAGACTGAGATAGATAGATAGATAGATAGATAGATGATAATGAAAATATTAACTGTTTCCTTATAAGGAAACATTTGATAGATAGATAAACAGATGATAATGAAAATATTAACTGTTTCCTTATAAAGAAACATTTGGTAGATAGATAGATAAACAGATGATAATGAAAATATTAACTGTTTCTTTATAAGGAAACATTTGATAGATAGATAGATAGATAGATAGATAGATAGATAGATAGATAGATAGATGATAATGAAAATATTAACTGTTTCCCTATAAGGAAACATTTGATAGAATTATGTAAATAGACATATATGAACATGTTGAGGTTGATAAATACATAGATTCAAACAGGCTGAAATAAATAGATACGATTTAGCTGAGATAGATAGATTGATAGATACGAAAAGACAGAGACAGACAGATAGATATATAGATAGTTAAATAGATTAATAGAAATATAGATGGATAGATAGGCAGATGGTAATGATAATATTAACTGTTTCCTATAAGGAAACATTTTATATTCAATCTCCGAGCGGACAGTTTGTTTTCAGTTGAAATATATAAAATCTTTGTCTTAAAACACCTTTTTTTTTTTAGGAAAACAAGTTTCTCAAATCCAGTAGCTGTTATCGATCTTTCCAGTATTGATGTCGTTTTTCTTCTGAACTTTCTAATCGAAGAGGTGTGGAATGTTAGCATTTTGATTATATCATCATTTTCTCTTTGAGTTACATGTGATGCCGGTATTTTGTAGTCCTCAAGTGACATGGTTTCTGTTATTTGGTGCAGTTCTTTCTTTGTGATTCTGTAGCGCCAATCCATGGTATTCAAAGAAGGGTGATCTTTGACAAAACTTTCAGGATTTACTCACGCAAATCCTTTTTTCACCATTGATCTTAAGAAGGAGTTTTGTACAACCTGGCATATATTTCTGAACGGGTTTGGTGCCGTGAATGACATCCTTATGAAAACTTTAACCTGGCGATGTTATTTACGAACATATCTTGAGTTTTCAGCTTGATATTTTCGTTTCATAGCTTTTCTTTTTTCTTTGACTCGGAATCATCCTAAGCAAGGCAGTAATGCCACTAAAAGACAACAAGTTACAGGGTGTAGAAGAATTGAGAATAGACACATTAATGATGAGCAGAAAGTGAAGAGAGTAATCAGGAGGACAGTAGATAGCAATTGACATTGCATTTAAATTTTTAGTTGGTATCATCCTAAGCAAGGCAGTAATGTCAGTAAAACACAAGAGGTTACAGGGTCTAGAAGAATTAGGAATAGAAACATTAATGATGAGCGGAAACAGAAGAGAATAATTATGTGGACAGTAGATAATAATTGACGTTGCAATTAAATTTTTGCAGATTGAAGTTGGCTGGAGAGCATGGAACCGAAAGAGAGTTCCACAAGCGAGAAGTGCAAGAGAAGAAACTGTTAGCATAGAACTTACGGCTACATTTAGCCAGCTTAACTCTAAATTGAATTTGCAGTGTTGGGTGAAACAACCTCTGGCACAGCCTATTCTATGTTCAATTGCTTTTTCTCTTATACTTAATTTTTATAGCTGATCAACATGCCAAGATGTCTGACGTTTTCAGTATTTACTAATTCTACATCCTGTATTTTTATGATGTGTTTAGGTTTGGTGTCGTCACCGTTTTCATCCGAAATCCAGATCATAATTTCTGTTTCTTCTTGAGTCCTATTTCTTGGAACACTTCTTAGAGGATGTTGATTTTCTGCTCTTATCCCAACTATGAACGCCTATGTCATCAGCATACACCTGCCTCATCACCAGTACATCGGCCTCGGGCGGGAAAGCAGGTTCGTTGTCTTCTATTGGTAGACTAGTTTGAGATGAAGTATGGAATGTTTAAATGGTCAGCGCCCATCTCTTCACATATGTGTCTGTATATGTGCTGGACATAGTCTAGGAGTGGGGGGGGATTAAATAGATTGAAGTTTTCAATTCCTACTTGTCGCAGTCCTGGTGAAGTCTGAAATGTTTCCGTGGTTATATGCAGCTGTGAGGTAGTGACATCTAGCTAGCTAGTTAGCTTAGGATAGACGGATATATATAGATATGATCATACTTAGATATGAGCAGCCTCTGATAGATAGATAGATAGATAGATAGATAGATAGATAGATAGATAGATAGATAGATAGATAGATGTGAACAGTCTGTGATAGATAACAGTAGAGTATGATAGATAAATAGAGAGGAACAAACTGAGATAGATAGATATGAACAGGCTGATATATTTAAATATAGAGATATGTGTTGAGAAATAAATGCATTGGCTGAACGGAATAATATATATGAACAGGTTTAGATAGATAGATAGATAGAAATATATTGAGATAGATAGATATGAACTGAAACTGATAGATAGATAGATAGATAGATAGATAGATAGATAGATAGATAGATAGATAGGTAAAAATATATTGAGATAGGTAGAAATGAACGAACTGAAATTGATAGATAGATAAGAACAGGCTGATATATTTAAATATAGAGATAGATACGAAAATTATGTGTTGAGAAATAAATGCATTGGCTGAACAGAATAATATATATGAACAGGTTTAGATAGATAGATAGATAGAAATATATTGAGATAGATAGATATGAACGAACTGAAATTGATAGATAGATAGATAGATAGATGAAATTATATTTTGTTCATCTACATACATGTGTATGCATAAGTGAACATCTCCAGAAAGATGACGTTAAGTGTGTTTATTAGAAATATATATTGCAAGACATCAACATTGACGTGGCAATTTTTTCCTAAAACAAAAAATTACAACAAAATATTTTTCATCTCAAAATAAAAATTTGCCTTCTCACAATTGGCCCTTATTAAAACCAACAACATTTTACCCGTTTTTTTTTATGAACCTTAGTTCAGATCCATCTCTAATCTTGGCAAAGCTGTTTAACAGCCGCTTGAAGTAGAAATGTTTTCCAAGCATACAGAAACTGTCAGCTGTATATCCTGTTTACAACAATGCAGCAATCATCTGCTATCACAATATTACACCATCAGCCTCCTTAATCAGCAACCTCTTTAACCACAAACAGTATGGTTTTTCACTCTTTTAGGTCCACTGCTGATGTCTTAAATATCAAGCATAGAATCAGTGAAAGGCTGGATAACAAGCACCTCAAGAGTAGTAGAATTAGATATCTTGAATGCCTTTGAAAAGTCATGACATCACAAACTTCTCAGCTATAGATTTGGTTTGGTTTGTTTTACGGCATATCAACCTTAATGGGTTATTTAATACCGACAAAATTTTTATTGCTGGTAATATTTGTTTTTCAAAAATGTACTGCTGGTAATCATTTTTTTCTTCAAAAATTCGTTGCTGGTAATAACCTTTTTTCAAAAATGTATTGCTGGTATTAAAACCCATTTTTAAACTTTCATAGTGATTCGACCTCAGTTTGGGGGTCAAATATTTGCCCATAGCTGGAAGCCAAACAGGTACTACCACCCCGGGCCAGGATGGACCTGGGAACACCAGCAATTAAGAGGTGGTTCCACGCTCCTCAAAACCTCCTGATCAGAGGCCTTGCTGTTGGATGTAGTTTATCGTCTTACCCAGGATGTCAGCTAGAGAGCCCTCATTACTATCATGTAGGTTTATGAAGGTCATTGTTAATGGCCAATTCTCTAAATGCACATAAGATCAATGCTAGCATCCACCAACACTCTCTTCTTATTTCTACCCTCTGCTTTATATTAACAATCTGCCTATGGACATTCTCTGATCTTTAACAAAGACCGTGAACTACCAGCAATCAAGATGAATGTTCCCTCAGGGAGGGCCCCGTGCCATGAGCAACTATTGGGCCTTAAACTAAAGCCTGATTTCGTGGAACTCGTACATCCGATTCATTGCTAAAGATGTAAGAAAAGTGGTCAGTTCTCAGTATACTCCAGCAAGTACCTAACTCTTTGTGCTATCCACTACCTTTACAAGAGCCAGATCAGACCTAAAAAGGAGTACTGCTGTCATATTTTGGCAGGAATTGCCCCTTTCTCACTTTCCAGTCTCGGTAGAGTCCAAAAGCATTTCCGTGTCTTTGTGGTTGATAAATTATTTTTCACCCTGCAACCTCTCAGGCAAGATGTAGAAAACCTTTCGCTGCTCTGTCGACACTTCCATGGAAAGTGCTCGGACGAACTACGCTAATTGGATCCACCATTTCTAACCTTTGCGGCTAGGACACGCCGAGCCACGCCCATTCTAGCGAACCACCCTGATTCCTTCCGTATTCCATTGGTCAGAGGTAAGTCCACTCAAGCAGCTTCTTCCTGTGAACCACTGCTCTGTGGAAACGACTCCCAAGAGGATGTTTTTCCGATTACTACAATCCTAACCCGTTCAAGTCTTGACTTAATGGTTATGTTCCTCACTATCTCGAGGGGCTACCGACCCGTGTACAGGGCGACCCTCACTGTAAAAGAAAAGAAAAGAAAAGCAGGTAGGCAGTCTTGTGGGTGATGAGTTATTTTCCTCCTTTCAACCTCCTTCTGTATAGACAGAAATTTGCTAGCCTCTCCCTGTTCTATCGCTGTTACAATGCAAATGTTCATGCAAGCTACATTCCTTAGTTCCACCAGTTCAGACCTTCACATCTATAATCCATCATACCATTTACAAGTGTCAAATCGTCCTCATTCCCCTCTTATTCCTTTGGTAAGTAAGAAGTTCTACTTAGAGAGTTTCTTCCTCAGAACTGTCACTGGAACAAGCTCCCAACGACTACAATCTTAACCTCTTCAAGTTTGGAATCAACTGATATCTATCCTACATATTCTCATAATATGCGCTTCTTGCTTAACATCCTTCCAGTAAACCTCTACCTTGAGTGCCTATCAGGCCTGGTATTGGGTGAAAATTCTTATTAAACAAAAATAAGTTGACATCAGGTAAGCATTGCGAACTTTATTATTACCTGATTTATTATCTGTTTCTATAAAAAGTCACACACACACGCATATATATATATATATATATATATGTGTGTGTGTGTGTGTGTGTGTGTGTGTGAAATGATGCACTTTATAGGAAATGAATAAAACGCTTCTGAAATGTTAAATAACTAATGTATTTAGTTGAAATAGGCACCTGTTACAAATTCATGACGGTCGTCTTCGAGTATAGAATCCAGAGGTTAGCAGTGAATATTTCGGAGACAGTAGGAAAGCGTAGTTCAGGTTCGCAGTGGATATCGCAGCAAAGTAGCAGAGCGTAGTTCTTCCTTATTCATCTTCGCCTGACAAGTTGGCACTGGTCATTCGGGTAGGGTAAACAAAAATGGCCGCCTTTATACACGACGGATAGAATGTTCTGCGACTTCTGATTGGTTAACCTTCTATTGGTAGACTATAAAGGGAGTTAAGTCATTTTGACTAACTCACTAGTTACATATATACACAAAAACTGTAACAGCACCATGTTGTTAAATGACTGTTCTCCAACGTCCCTCTAAATTATTAATCCCATCTTTAAAAATGATCATCCTTTGATGTGATAAACAGTTCAAATGCTTCGATTACCTCTTCCTTATTAAAGAGTGTTTTATTGCATATGAAAAACTTAAAATGCCTAAATAAGTGATAATCAATAGGAGAGATATCAGCTGAAGATGGAGGATGAGGCAAAATTTAATCATTCAGGCTATGCAGCTTTTGGACATTTGATTGAGAAGCGTGCGGCCGTATGTTGTTGTGCAGCAATATTGGGCTATCCCTATTTACAAGTCTAGGATGTTTCTTTTGCAATTTTTGTGCATACACTCAATTTGCACCTCAATATGATGTTGTTGTTATTGTTTTCCCTTGAGGAAAGCATAAACAATGAATAACCCCTTTTAAAGTAACCATTAACTTTTTAGGGTGCATTTGATGATTTGGTGATTCACTTGCATTTAAACACTGGCCTACTCTCTTACTGTTGACAAAGGGTACCCATTATTCATCGCATGTAATGATTCGATGCAAAAAATACCCCCCCCCAGTTTGTACTCATACAGTAATATTACCCAACATTGTTTCATCATAATATTTTTCATTGCGCTTATGAGTAACAATATATTGAAAGAAAAATTATCTGGAAAGAAAAAAGACTAAGGAATAAGGATTTTTTCATATGGCAAGAAGGTTATGTCGTTAGACGATCCGATCAACATCTAACCAAAAAATGCGTCATGTGTGACAGGCTAATATATTTGTGTGAATAATTGAGGAAAATAATATATATATCCATCTATCTATAAAAGGCAGGATGTGTGTGTGTGTAACAAATGCACGGCCGCAATTTTCGACGGATTTGCACCAAAATTTACATGCACATGCTCCAAGTTAGCGGTAAGGCCAAGATATTTTTCATGCTTCTTCGGCAGTTTTCATGTAGTTTGCGGCCATTTTCTACTGGCCAGTGTGAGAGCCTATAGCTGGCTGCCACGAATAGACAGGAAGATTCTATTGGCCAGCGTGAGAGCCAACAGCTGACTGACACGAATGTTAACTAGCATGCTAGCATGCAAAAAAAAATCGATAGCTGCATTCGTCACAAGTGGGGAAAAATTTAAATCTTTATGGCACTTTACTCCAATTGGCTCATTCGCTTGCTTAAACTCAACGTTGATTCTGATTCCGCAGAACTGGGTTTGGATGTGAAAAAGTATTTGTTGTTAACATTCTTTTTTTTTATTCGGTTTTTCCAGTTACGAGTCCTTTTTAAAGCTGATCGTTTTGTGTTCATTTTGTTTAGTTCTTTTTTTTAACAGATTTAATGTTTAGTATAGAGCTTAGAAAAAATTCGCAGTGTGAGATAGGCAAGAAGTAAGGCATGTAGCAACATCAGCACGGCAAAGGGCACTCCTTTAAAGGCAAGGAAGGAAAAAAAATTTTTAAGTCAAGTGATACCGATTGCTGTATGAGTCGTACGATTTTTGAATCAAGCACGGGCAACGCCGGCCATGCTGCTAGTATATATATATATATATATATATATATATATATATATATATGTGTGTGTGTGTGTGTGTGTGTGTATTTATATTCTCATATATAAAGAAGAGTTTTTGAGGAAAGATATATGACAAAGAAGAAAAATTTTTTGTGTGACGCGTTTCGTCCCTTAGGACTTCATCGGATGAAACATGACACATGAAAACTTTTTGCACTTTGTAATGCATATATAATATATATATATATATATATATATATATATATATATATATATAATAGATAGATAGATAGGTAATAGATAATAAAAATCCATAAAAAGTAATCCTTAATCCTATTAAAAAAATATTAAACTGATCCACAAAAGAGAGCTCAATATATTTATTATAGAGTATGAAAATACATTTCATACATATAAAACGTTTTAGTATTGACAAGCTCCAGGGAATTTACCCCAAGGAGCGAAATGCCCATTGAAATGGGGTACAATTGAGCTTAATATTTATATATATATATATATATATATATATATATATATATATATATATATATAAAGATATATATTGGAAATTTGAAAGATGTAATAAAAAAATTTCGACATTAAGAATTCTCCCAAACATGTTTTTTAAATAATATGGACAACTTCTGTCTATCCATTTTTTATTACATCTTTCAAATTTCCAAATAAGTTATTTTGTTTTAACGATACATTTGGCAAAATCCATATTAACTTTTATTTTATATTATTTTTTCCTAAGTTACTTTCGGATGATAATCCATGCGTTTTCAAGGATTGTTCTCTGTGCATTTTTATATGTAAGATGGCTGTCAATTCATTAAAGGATTATGACCATTACTGACAAATCTTTGTGCTCATGGGACTAACAACGGATCTTAAAGCCGACACGGGATTTGCAAGATTTATTTTCCAGGTGATAGATGCAAGTCCTTGATTTCTGTTGAGTTTGTGACTGCTGGGTTTACTGGTTATGGATCTTTAAGTGTCCGGCCAGTCCAGATTGATTGGGACATGTCTTACCACACTGTGTATCGGTTAGATCTTTTTTTTTAATCTAAAATTCTCTTTAGTTACAGCTGGGTCTTACTTTGTAATCATTTTTGTGATTGATAAGGACTGCTTGGATGTAACAGATGCGATTGTGTTCCAAACATGCAAATTGTGCTATATTTTCATCAATGGTTTCTGTTCTGTCTGGCTATTCAGCTTTTCGCTCTTGGACTTGAGGATTGTTGGAAAATCTTCATGCCTTTTAGGCAACTGAATGACAAAGCTGATCTCATTCAATTTCCCTAGGCTTTTGTCTATTATTGGTTTTAAATATCCCAAATAGTGACAACAGGAAATGTGCCAAGAAAGGTAAAGTACTTGTGAGAACGGGAACAAATTTACTGTTAATGATTTAGTAATCAGTGCACTTTCTATGTATTTTCATCTTAGAAAATTGTTTTCTCTTTCACCTTTTACACATGTTTCCTTTGCCTTTTTATATAAATAATTTCATGGTAATTGTCCTGATGAACTTTCCTCTACGGTACCTAGATTTATGAATTGAAGAGAAGTACTAGATTGGCAGCCCATAAATTCTATGCTAACAGTTTATTTTCTTACACTTCTCTTTTGTGAAACTCTCTTCCGGCTCCATGCTCCCTAGCCAACTTTGATCTTCAAAAATTGAAATGCAATGTCAATCGATATATTCCGTCTTTTTAATTTCTGTACATTTACTGATCTTTCTCTTTAATAGTGTATTTTTTTTTAATATTCTCTCACACCTAGTAGTAACCTCTTGCATCTTAGTGGCTTTATTGCCTTCTTGGAGTCAGATGCTTAAAAAAATTCCATCAATAAGAACATTAATTTAATTTGGTGAAATTCTTTTAGAGTATGAAATAAACAATATAGAACTTTTCCAATTAGTCATTCAATTACCTACCATTATTCTAATATAAATGAAAAGACTGAGATAGATAGATAGATAGATAGATATGAAAAGGTACATATATAGATAGACAGATATGAAAAGGTACATATATATATATATATATATATATATATATATATATAGAGAGAGAGAGAGAGAGAGAAATCTGAAAAGGTACATAGATAGATCTGAAAAGGTACATAGATAGATAGATAGATAGATCTGAAAAGCTACATAGATATATCTGAAAAGGTACATAGATAGATAGATAGATAGATAGATAGATAGATAGATAGATAGATCTGAAAAGGTACTTAGATTGATTTGAAAAGGTACATAGATAGATAGATAGATAGATAGATCTGAAAAGTTACATAGATAGATTTGAAAAGGTACATAGATAGATAGATAGATAGATAGATAGATAGATCCGAAAAGCTACATAGATAGATCTAAAAAGCTACATAGATAGATAGATCTGAAAAGGTACATAGATAACTCGTATTCTCTCTTATATGTATGTGTATATGTTAAAATTGTGCCTTTAAAATATTTAAAAGATGGTTATCCTTTTAATTTTCAATATTTTAATTTTATATATATATATATATATATATATATATATATATATAATATATATATAATCACCTCAGATGACGCCAGGTGAACTGAACACCTGGCATAGGCCAGTGAGGGAAGAACCATGTCACAAGGCGATATATAAACACCCACACAAGAATGTAGAATCTACGCTTGAAAAGGTCCCTACTTGTAAATGGTGATTGATGAAAACTAGATGGAAATTAGCAATAATGTTACGCATGGGAGATAAAGTCATGTGTCTTCATGAATAATGAATGACTATATTATATATTTGTATATATACTAGACCACCCATAAACATGTTGGGTGTCATTTAAGAGCAGTTCATGATACAAAACGATGAGGTAACATTATTCTCAATTTTATTATTCGACATATATATATAAGATCCCCCAGCCTAACCATTACTATTGAGTAGTGAGTTCGATCTTCACTAGCTGCTCCATATAAAAGACGTTAAGTCGGTATGAAAGTGACTGAAGATGAGACCATTCTTTGAATTTTGCCAAGACTAGACGAATTGTAGATTTATACAGGATTCAGTGGGTAAATTGTCGCCATTTTATATTTTAATTTCACGCATGTCTGTTTTAGATTTTGTCGACTGCATAATATATTAGGGTCAGTTCGTAACTGTCTGCAAGAAAAAAAAAGAGCCCTATGATGCAATTCAATCCGGAATTTGGAAACGGTATGATGTACTCTTTGGCATTCCAGATAGCTCCAATACTAACATTTCAGAATGTTTGGGTGTTAATCTAAGGACAATGCAGAAGATTACGAAAGAGTTGGATGAGACTAAGGGTGATTAAGAAGGTGTTTGGAGTGATCAGCAGTGATAGCAACGTTTTGTATCCATTCATCTTCCTACAGGGTCTCATACTTGAGGAGGTAGTGCTCCCTTGGGTCAATAGAATTGTTGCTGGAAAACTTTGTCTAGCAACAGGACTCTGCACCTTGCCACATAAGTAGCAGAACCCAGCCATGACTGTCAGATAATTCCTGCGTCAACATTACCCCTTCTGGCCACCTACCTCCCCAGACTGCAACACCCTTGATTATTATGCGTGGGTGAATTTGAGTGAGAGACGAGCAAAACACCTTGTAACAGCAAAGATTATGGCAGCATTTACCAACGTAAATAAGGAGACTGTCCAGAAGAGTTGCAAGAGATTCCGAAGTCGTCTAGAGGCCGTGGTTTAAGCCAACAGCGATTTTGTTGAATAAATTTACTCTTTTTTTGTGTGTGTGTGTGTGTAATTTTGTTAAATATATCTGTTAAAATGAGATGTCAGTGTTATTTTTCAGTTTTGCGTCATTTGGACGACAATTTATCCATCGCACCCGTCTGTGTGCAAGATCGATTCTGAAGAGAATTTTTTGGAGGCACGATACAGTGAACCAAGATTCCCTGAAGTAGGCGTTGTAATTGACTCGATATAGTTGCTCCACTTCATGTCAGTGGAAAACGTGAGCCCAAGATGGTGTAAAGCGTTGATCTAGAGCTTAGCATCTGTCATGCTGATGTCTGGCAGAAAGGGTTCTTTGTGGTGATTAAAAAAACAAAACAGGTTTGTTTTGGAGGTGTTAAAATATGCAAGCCAATTCTTGCCCCAGTTAACCTCTGATTGGGGGGGTTCTTTTCAAGAGCAGGTGCCAGGTTTACTTTGTCGAGTCTGTAGGACTTGCTACTAAAACAGAAGTAAATGCCTGTGTAATCTGCATAAATACCTAATTGAAAACTGATAATCCGGGGGGGGGTTCATGGAGGAAGATCAGAAACAGCGTGTGTTCAAGGATAGAGTCCTGGGGTAATCCCGTGTTAGTATGAAATGATCTGGAAGTGTTCTTGTTCAATATGTTTCGGATTTAAATAGTTGATAAGACGTAAAAAATAAATCAATCATCATTTAATACTACACCTTCGTCTTCTGTCTATAAAGAAAGTATCAGGTTTCCTTTCGATATAATGGCTCGTAGCATGGAGTCGGATAAAAATGTTGACTTTGCAATGCTTCTTTCAATTTTGGGAATAAACAAAATTCTGTTCGTACCAAATTAGAGCTGTGAGAAGTTTTGTAAAACAATAGAGAATGTTGGGATTCTACCTCTTTGTACCGGCTGTTGGCATCAATATGGCCGTACGTTTGTTAAAAATTTTATTTTTCTTCCCTCTGAGTAAATTTCGGTAGTTTGGGGGAAAGGATGAAGGTAATAAAATAATTACTGAAAGCTAAAACTTGTTTTGTGATGTCAACGAACACTCGTTTGACAGTTTTGTAATGTCAACAAATACTCGATGTCATTTTTCATTGTAACAAGTCACGTTTATCAAAATAATTTACTGTAGTAGAAAAAAAAAATTACTTCTGTTATTCTTTCCTTTTTCTGCACCCCCAATTGACCCCCTCCACGTCTTGGTCAAGGAGCTTCGCACGCAGGTTGGCAAGTTGTTATATAGGAATAAAGTGTCGCTGCCGACACTTCAGTTTGAACATAGATCGCCAGTGAGTAAATACAGACGATCCCATTCTTGAATTAAGTAGACCACGTGACCCTAGAGGAAACGCATAAGTAGGAAGTCGCGTGACATCTAAATGATAACTATTCCTAGTCTATCCTCTATTACTATAAGGACCGCTATTCTCTACTCTATTCACTATACTATTTCTCTATTCGGATCACTATATAGGTTACTATTCGAGCTAGTATTATCGATCAAGTACTATTAGTGTGAGTGATATTCGAAGGCGACTGACATCAGTACTGTTCAACGGCGTTACTATAGTTGTATCTGCGATTACAAAGTCTCTACTACAACCTGAAAATGCCTGACCGCCAAAAGTTCTCGGGTGAATCGGAGCCGATCCCTGTAATACGACCATCAACAGGAGTGAGTGACGCTACATCGGAAGTGGGAGTCGGGACACGTTCCAAAACATCTGAAAGCCTGACAGAGAGCAGACTCAAAGTAACGGTCGCGAAATCTAATCCTCAACGAGGTCTTCACAACTAAATTCTCGTTTTCGCGACAGAATTAAGTTTTCTTTTCACTCCCGACTATTGGGACAAAATAGTCAATTCCATGACAGAGAACAAGTACAGTTCTCAAACTAATGCTCTACGTTGAAGACTCTGAAGGCACCAATAGATTCTATCACAAACTTCGACAACTCGCGTCAAATCACAAGAACTGTGAAAAACATTTACATTTTATACCTTCAAGATAAATATACCCTTTTAACGGGGTTTAGCCTTACTGAAACACTTTTTTTGTACCTTAAAATTAACATTGTTTTGTATACTCTGCCATTTTTTCTTGTGATATTTCATGTTATTTGATCTTTTTTTTCTTACAACTACTATTAAGCCTTATTTTAGAAAAAAAATTAAGTTCCTTGCCTCACCACTTGTCACCCATTCACACCTGCTGAAGGGTGAAGAAGCCCCAATTTGCATTCCATGCCAGGAGCTCTACACAATGAAACACTTACTAACAAGCTGCATAGATCTCGAACAAATACGATTAAGATACTATCAAGAAAGCAATCTGAAAGCCATCTTCAACAAAACTGAACCAAATGACCTTTTAGAATTTCTAAAAGCAACATAATTATGTAACAAAATATAGTTGGCAAAGAAGATAGCATATAATCATAATGCACTAAATTACAACACCTCTACCTATATCTTGGAAATCAATAAACTTACAAAAGATCAACAAGCAGTAAACAAAAACCCAAACAAATTCTTCAGCATTAAATAACCCAAAAGGGTTGATATGCTGGTAAAACAAACAACTAAACAAATAATTGTCTAGAAATTTATTATCCACTTTTCCGGGCGCACAAAACGCCTGATATTTATTACAATTTTCTTTACTTTTATTCTTATAAAATTATTTTGGCTTTATATCTCACTGAGCAGCTTTAGTCGCATTTTACGGTGAGCTTTGTTGTCGCTTGATCTCCATTCTCCGAACCGACAAAAGTATATACTAATAACTATTTTTTTCCTATTCCTCATACGTTGTCGTGATGTTAAAAGTTTCATTCAGGATTTATACTACAGATGCGTTGTTTGAGTGCTTGTAAGTTTTCATTCATTTCATGTATTGATACGCCACCTTCCTCTTCCCAGTATTCTTTTATTAATCACTACTTTCTACATAAGTAGTACTCTTGAGTAATGAACACTATATCGAATCAATGGGAAGTTCTTCTGCTTCGAATCTTGGCTAAACATGATGCTTTCAACTCGCTGGTATGCCTGTAATTTCTTCACAGTCCTGGATTATTTGTCTCTTTATCCAGGGTGCTGGAGGTAATGACTTCAGGGATCTGGATTTGTAAGAATGCTTTCCTATCAACAGGTACATAATATCGAGTCTACTATATTGCCCTTTGGTGAGCTTGGTCTGGACTCTGTTGCAATCTCCAGTGGGAACTCTCGATAGCATGATGAAAGTGCATAGTTACGGCTTTGCTTCGTGGCAATTAATCCAGCCACGGTTTTTTTTTTTACAGACAATCGCAAACGGTTTTGCTTAGGTCACTCACCTCCCAGAACTGCTGCGATATGAAAGTTTAAGTTACACTATAGTATTCAATTGAATGCAAATAACGTAGCTAAAAAAATACTTTTTTTTTTAACCTGGTGTAAAATGAATTTCTTTTTTCTCATATTGAGTGAATAATAGGCTGAGATTTATTGCTCCTCGTTAAACGCGATCTCTGATGAGTCCATAAAAAGATACTCCATTGTTTATGCTGACTTTCTAAATATAGTTGCCTTCCTAATTCGCTCTAAATTTGCTTTGGTCGAGTTTCGACATT